CACCACCTTTGGAGCCGGTCGATGGCGCTGTCTTTTTATCCAAGATGAAGAAGGTCAAGGGTATGTGCAATCAACTGCTTTTACTTTGATTATAGAGAGCAATTTGTTGGGTCATGTGTAGGGTGAGACCAATCCACTGCTGTCCATAGAAAACCTGGAATTCACTTTTATATTTGTTTCAGTATCTCCTCCGGATAATATAGTAGGGTAGATTATCGAGATATATTGAGTTTATTGACTTTTATGTAGCTGAAATCTATTCTGCATCAGGCAAAGAATATTTTTGGATTTTAACATCCTCATTTCCAACTTTTCTGCAACGGAGGAGGGTCTTCTTTTCATGCGCCGTTTGCAGATTGCTACGGAACCTCAGGTATTTTCCCTTTGTTTTTTATGCACCCCTTCGCCAGTGGAACAGACAGTGTCCGAGATTAGTGTGACCCACCTCCCCAACCATCACATTTGATCCAATATAATCAATAATATTAAGTCACCATCTTGAATGTTATTCTGAAACAGAAGGGAATATATATATATATTTTTTTTTGGAAGTTTTAAGGTATAATTGAAAACAAACCCATAAAAAAGAATTTTTTTTGATAAATTTAATAACAATTTGTTATTTATTATGGAATTTGTTTTTTATGCTGTCAATTGGTTATTGTCTCAGTGGAAATTTAATTATTATTTTTCATCGGTAGGTTCGGAGGTAATATGAAATCATGCTTCTAGAACATCAATCGACGGATACGTATTTTAAAATAAGAGAAGCCAACAAATTATGCCAACCCAGAAACCATCCTCCTTGCTATCTTCAAATTAATATTTAATAAATTAACGTAGCAAATTATTTTTTAATATCTCAAATTATTCACTATGTTTATTTCATGAACATAGTTTTTTATTCTAAAAAGATAAAAATAAAACATTTTTATATAAATTAAAAAATTTAAATATATATACAACAATGAAGTAGAGAAAAGTAATGCAAAGGCGAATTATTTTAATAATCAATACTTTCTCGACATAGAGCTTATATCTCTATCTAAAAAAAAAAAAAAATTGATGCAATTATAATTTAGATATCTCAAATGCTATGGTGAAATTATAATTTTTAAAAAATAAGATAAAAGAAAAAGGAAATAATGAATAATGTTGTAAATACAATATCTAAAATAAATATGGGGAGAGATGAAAATGATAGAAAGAGAGAAGGAAATTATTTTTTATAATTTAGGGAAGAAAATGGAGGTTGGTCCATAAAACCCCATTTAAGTTCCCCGCTAGATCATTATCAACTCTCTCTCCCTTCTCGGTTTTCTTTTCCATCTCCAACTTTTTCACTTTTGCATTAACTTTGCCTCTTTACGAGGAAGGCGCTGCAAGCAAACTGCCGATTCTCCCTCCCTCTCAGGTGAACCACTGAATTTGAACTTTCATGATTACTTCTACATGTTTTTTTTTTCTTCGCAACTACGGTTTTCTTCGTTTCGCTGTGAATTTGTCCGTGGAGGTCGAAGTTTTGACGATTCTTTCCATTTGTTAATTGATCCTTTTTCCTTTTAGTTTCTTTCATTCCGGACAAGTGAGAAAGGAAAGTGGTGTCTCGATTCTGGAGTTGATAAATCAATAGGTTTCTGCTTGCATATCATTAATTTGCGCTGTAGGTCGAATTGAACGGTAGCGTGATAGGTTAATCAAAGCACACTGAGGAGGACCGTGTGTCAGGATTACATTTTTCTTCTTGGCGGGCGAACTAGTTAGATTATCACTTCACGTTCAGGTCCTCTATTTCTGTATTTATTGGTTTTGGGATATGAATAAATCTGGGTATGTTGGCCCTTCTTGTATTATGCTCGTGGTTTGCTCTAACAGGTCTCTATTTGACTACTTTAATTGCTAATTCATTACAATAGCTGATGAAGTTCTACAAAGCTTCGTATCTAAACACATCAGTAAATCAATTTGAGTTCACCTTTTGGCTGATTGATTCTACTGGGCTTTGAGTTTTTTAGAATTTTTTCCAGTTCTGGTTGGTTTGGTTTGTCCGTAACCTGTTATTAGTCTGTTTCATTTTGGGGTTCCCATTGAGTAATTAAACTAGGATGAGTTAATTGGGCATGATCGAACTCTTTGAAGTAAAGTCGGTCAGATGGTTGGTGGCTTCCAGTTGGGTTTTAGGTGTTTTAACTGATTCACTAACCTTCTGTTTTGGTGTTCTGTAAATGTTCTATTGTTTTCAACTTTCTTCCCTCTAACCTTAAACTTAGCTTCAAATTCTGCTTATAGTTAATGTTTACCATCTGAGATCCCACGTTTGATGGGAACAAAACATTCCTTATAAGGGTGTAGAAACCTCTTCCTAGTATTTTAAAATCATAAGGCGGACAACGATATGTAATGGGTCAAAGCAAATAATATCTGCTAGCGTGGGCTTTGGCTGTTACAAATGAAATCAGAGCCAGACATCAGGTAGTGTGCCAGCGAGGACGCTGGTCTCTAAGGAAGTGGATTGTGAGATCCCACATATGTTTTAAAATCGTGAGGCTGACGATGATACATAACGAAACAAAGCGAACAATATCTACTAGCAATGAGATTGGGCTGTTACAGCCTAATTCCAGACGAGAAATTTGATGTCTGATTTGTTTTTGTGTGCTTTTCCAGGAAATAACTGGAGTTGCTTGATCAATTCATGGCCTATGAGCAGTACTTTGTGCAGGGATGGAAACACTACAACGGTTGCTTTGATTGTAACATCTGCTTTGACTTTGCCCATGAGCCAGTGGTAACTCTCTGCGGCCACTTATACTGCTGGCCTTGCATCTACAAATGGCTTCACGTCCAGAGTGCCTCTCTTGCCATTGACGAGCACCCACAGTGCCCGGTTTGCAAGGCTGATATTTCCCACACCACAATGGTTCCTCTCTACGGTCGTGGCCGAACGGCCGAGCAAGTCGAGCCTGAAGCTAAAGCAATGCATCGTGACATTGATATACCTCCTAGACCTTCAGCTTGTGGTAACCAGATGCTTGCTACTCCCAGCACACACCAGCAGCAACTTCCATATCGAAATCCTTACCAGCGACCGAACCACGACCCCGTTCTTTTTGGGAATTATGAAGAAGATTCAGCAGCCTCTTTGCTAAACCTTGGGAGAACATCATTCAGTGGTTTTGACCATCGGGTGGCAGGAATGATTGGCAATTTCGTGTATGCGAGGGTCTTTGGGAACTCAGACAACTTAAACTCTTACTTGGGAACGGGGAGCAGAAGGGATGGGTTGAGAAGACAGGAAATGCAGGTAGCCAAGTCATTGAACAGAATCTCCATTTTCCTCTTCTGCTGTGTAATTCTATGCGTTCTTGTCTTCTAATGATGTTCCATTCCTGGAAACATCCCCATTTTCAAGACAAGAAAGACACAAATAAAGTGCATTGTCGTCTTTGTATTCTTTGTATAGGCTTTTTGCACCCAGAAAACTTCTTGCATTTTCCGAGGGTTCTTGATGACTTTTAATTACTGTTTTCTTTGGAAATGATCAACCTCTACGGTAGATGAAATGCATGAATAATCAACCCGCTAAAAAGAATGTGAAAATGTGAATAGTTGTTCGCCCATGATAAGAGGGAAATTAAACAAATTCCAGAAAAAAAAAAAAAAAAAAAAAGCAGAAGTGTTGCTGCCCAGGATCGAACTGGGGACCTTTAGTGTGTAAGACTAACGTGATAACCACTACACCACAGCAACTTGATGTCTCAAGTGATGCTATAAAAAAAATAAAAAATTGGAAAATAAAAGACCAAATGTGTTGCTGCCCAGGATCGAACGGGGGACCTTTAGTGTGTAAGACTAACACCACAGCAACTTAAAATTGGAAAATAAAAGACCAAATGTGTTGCTGCCCAGGATCGAACTGGGGACCTTTAGTGTGTAAGACTAACGTGATAACCACTACACCACAGCAACCTAACGTTTGATACAACATTAAAACTAAGGAAATTAAGTTATTCCCTATGCATAGAGAACGAAGACCACACAAATGCTACACAACGCACAAAATTATACTCTCGCTTAGTATCAAAATTCAACCCACCCATCAGCAACTCTTTCTTTTATTATGGTGCAGGGGACTAAAGGACCCCCATAACCTCCCTTTTATTTTCACAACGTTTCGTTTCACAACGAGTCTCAGGCTTTACACTCGACATTCACCAAATTATGTGGTTCATCCCCATAGCCATCATTATTGAACGTTTTTACTAGAATATGCATAATGCACCATCCTAACCCTTCCTTTCATCTGATCAATATGTAGAGGAGAATCATGGCCGTCCATTACATCCCTAAAATCCTCTTCCCCTTTTCCCCCACCATCAAGTGGGTAGTTGGCGATATGCTTTTATACATGTAATACTATCATTCTCTCCCACCGCCCCCACTCCAATCCACATATAATAAATAAATAAATTTATATTAATTTCATTTTCTTGTTACATTTTCCTACGTAAGATTCACATCATCTAAAAAAATAGAATAAAAAAATATTTCTATATAACTTATTACTAAAGAAAAGAATTGTTGAGGTATCAATTTGAACTAGGTCAAATGCTCAACCCTCTCTAATACTAAATATATATAGGAATCGATGAATGCTAACTAGTACTATACGTTCAATCAGTCGAGGTTTCTTACCTTGGCTCAATAGATATCGTCTTAATAGGATCTTCTACCTCTTTTAAGCACTTGAACCATAGGATTTATGAGTAAGAACATATTCACTTTGGTTTCACACTTGTTAACGTAATCGATCAATGTGTAGAGTCCATTATAATGTCTAGATATATCATATCATGTACTTTGGTATTACTAGAAGAAGCAAGAAGGTTTGATTTTGGAACTATTTTGTTAACATTTTATATATAGATTTGCTTCAATGGGTCCAGCTTTCACCAAACACCCTTGAAGAAAAAGGCAGATTTGGAAAAAGGAAATAAAGACCAAAGGCAACAGCCACCCTTTATAGAACCTGGCAGCTTCCTAGCAAATGGCTGCAGGTGCATCGCTATAAGTACAGAACCTGTTCAACTTTGAACAATCTTTGGCTCTGAAAATTGGGATGAGCTTAATTATGCAGTCTTCAAGAATCAGAAACCCTGCTCCTTTTCTATCAAAGACTTATGATCTGTTACAAGAAGCTGGAAGCTTCCATTTTAAAGCAGCTGATGAAGAAGATGAAGAAGATGAAGAAGATGAAGAAAATGGCGGCGGCAACAGGATTGTGTCCTGGAATGCAGACGGAAGTGGGTTCATAGTTTGGTCTCCTGCTGATTTCTCTGAGGTTTTATTGCCTAAATACTTTAAGCATAATAACTTCTCTAGCTTCATTCGCCAGCTTAATACTTATGTATGTATTCCTCTCTCTCTTTCTCTCTTTTTGAGAATGCCCCCTCCATTTGTTCTTCTCACAAACATCTCCAGGAAAAGATGTTCACTGTACAGTGGATCCAATTGGCCATTTCCTGATAACTTGCGTACAGATTTAAAGAATTGAGTTGATTACATATTCTTGACATCATTTATTGGATCGGGTTTCGATCTAATTCTTGTAATATTGATGTCAGGGGTTCAAGAAGACGTCGCCAAAGAGGTGGGAGTTCAAGCACGAGAAATTTCAGAGGGGAAACAGGCGCATGCTGGTGGAGATTGTACGTAAGAAATGTGAGCCGAGTGTGTTTCCCGCCTATCTAAGATCTTCTCATGAAGGAGCTGCAACAATGGCTGTTGATCAGGAGAATGGAGACCATCTGTTACTAATGGAGGAGAACAAGAACCTAAGAAGACAGAAGCTGGAATTGCAGGCTCAAATAGCTCAATTCAAAGCACTTCATATTAGATTACTCGACTGTGTAGGTCGACGCATTGAAAAATAGCCTAAGGAGTTTTGATAATTAGAAAGATGGGTTGGTTGTGAAAGTTTCAGAAAGATAGTAATGCATTTGAATAAATGGAAATTGGAATAGATGAACATGATTAATTTTGAAGAAACCAGAAGCTGGCAGAGGATTTCCTAGAGAATTTGGTTTGCAATTTGCATTGGCCTACTAATCCTAAAAGTCCAAAAACCCTGCCTACAAAGTAAGAGATTTTGACTTTGAAAAGGGAAAAGAGAACTGGCGAGCGCCAGTTCTTTCTCCGTAGCACCTACCCCTTGATCTTTCCTTTAACGAGGAAGAATCATTGGCCTACCCTCTCTCACCTTCGCTCTTTTGATCAAACGAACCCTTTCCCCAAGCACAAGTTATGGATCTCAACCTGTCCTCCAAATCCTATCAGTGACACTCATTTGCAGATAATATGAGAAGTCGAGATGTTTCAGGCCAAGAAATATAATCCCAACTTTTATAATGAGTTCAAGGTTTCTCGTCATTGAAAACCCAACTAGGAAACTAGAAAAATGAACATAGTTACCGGTAACGGGAAACAACACACGATATATCGTAAACTCATCGGTCATTAGGGTAAACCCTTGCTTTTATATGCAGTAGAACAGACCCACATTGACGGGTCAGAAATCAACCAAAACTAAAAAAGCAAGCTTTAGAAGATGTATAATGTCAATAGATTGATGTAAGGCGAAACAGTTGAATGGATGCAGACACGCCCCAAGCAGCTCATGTCGAGACTATTCGGATAGAGTAGATTTCAGTTCTCCATTATTTTTTAGTTCCAGCACAATATCACAGCCTCCTATAAGTTCGCCCTTGTAATAAAGCTGGGGAAAGGTCGGCCAATTGGAGTAAGCTTTTAATCCCTGCCTCACTTCCTCGTCAGTTAAGATATCAAATGACCCAAAATCAATCCCTTCTTCCTCGAGGGCATTAACAACTTTGGAGCTGAAACCACATTTTGGAGCATCCGGTGTACCCTTCATAAAGAGCATAACTGGGGAAGAACAGGTCAATTTTTTCAAACGATCTTCAATAGTGTCTTTCTTAATGATTCCTTTATTTTCTAGACTTTTCCTAAGTTCTCCACTTCTATGCATCTGCAAAACAATATCGGATCCACCAATCAGTTCACCCTTGATATAGAGTTGGGGGTAACTAGACCACTTTGAATAATCTTTGAGCCCCTGGCGGACTTCACCATCAGAAAGGATATCAAAACTCTCAAAGTTCACATTTTCTTCACGAAGGATTTCTACGACCTTGTGACTAAAACCGCACTTGGGTTCATCAGGTTTTCCTTTCATAAACAGCATAACAGGACTTGAATTAACTAGCATTTTAAGACGGGAGGCTAGAGCTGCATTCAAGCCAGAGTTTTCTGAGATACCATCTGGGTTATCAGGTTTGGCAGTCTTCACCTCGTTGGAAACTATGCTCTCAATGCCATGATCCCTGAAGACTTCCTTTAACTCACCACTCTCATGCATTGCAATGGCTATGTCAGACCCACCTAGTAGCTCCCCTTTGCAATAGAGTTGCGGAAATGTTGGCCAGTTAGAGAACTTCTTCAATCCCTCACGAATTTCATTGTCTGATAAGATATCAAAACTTCCAAATTTCACATTTTCTTCCTTCAAAATGTCAACTACTTTCCTACTAAACCCACATTTTGGTTCTTCAGGGCTTCCTTTCATGAATAACATGATTGGATTAGAGTCAATAAGCTGCTGAATTTTCTTCTGCAAAGCACCGCTCAGTCCAGGATGCACCTTGATTTGAGTAGCAGAGCCATTGTCTCTTGCCAACTCTCTCACTGTTTCAATGATAGTTGCTCCTGCAGCCATCCCAAGGCTAGCTGGGGCTGCAGGTTCTCCAGCATTAATTGCACCAGAAGCTTTAGCAACTTTATTAGCCAAGCTAGATGGATCGGCCCCCTCTAAGGTATCAACAGTCTTGCCATCCTGAAACATGAAATTAATTATAATACAATTACCCTAGTTGTCCATGATAGACATCAAACCCACACATCCCAAGTATCTCTAACTTGCTTGGTGCTTAATATGAAAACATAGAATAGTATCCTTGACCTTCACTTACAGCATTGCATTCAAAGGCGCTGCAAAGAAAAGACAAGCTAGGAAAAGGAAAAGTAAAAAGAACTTCAATAAGTTCTGAAAGCACAAAGAGTCACCATGTAAGAATTACTGATCGACTACTTGAAAGTCTATTACTACCACATATCCTCAGTCCTCAACTGTTCTTGCTTTACTTCTCTTTCCGCTGATATTCATGAAGAAATACAGCATTTCCAGTAAATTTAAAGTTAATTTCTTGCTTTAAAAGAAATCAACGAAGTGAACCAAGAGAGGTACAATACCGAGTTCAAAGATCAATACCCAAAACGTAAATCAATTACCATCCCTTCAGTGAATACAATTGGTCTCACTTAAGGTTGGAACCTATTCCTTTACAAGTCGTCAACCCCGTAATACAATTTCAATATCATCGAAAGGAACCAGGAAAATTGCGCTGTCGAGTTCAAAGATCAGACGTAAATGCATTACCATCTCTCCAGTGTATTACTGGTTCGAGTATCCGATTGGAAACTACACTTGTCAAGTCGGAAATGTAATAGGATTCTATAATCTACGAAACCAACTTGGAAATTATAAATAATTCAAATAAACTTTGGGCACAATCATTTCCCAAATGAACGCAAAAGAATTCCCATACAAAGAAAAAACGTAACAAAGAATTTCAACCGACCTTGATGAAAACAAAGTAGGGCACGGCAGAAACCGAGTAAGCCTCCGATAATTCGGGTTGCTCTTCAGCTTCAACCTATAATCTCCATGAACAACTAAGAGGATAAACAATCGAAGTAATAAAAACTCACAGGCAAAAATCAGAGAAAACAACTACTAAAGAGAGGTAGAGACCCACCCTTACGAAATGAGCGTGAGGAAAATCGGTAGCAAGATGTGAAAAGACCTGGTCCATGTGCTTGGAAGCTTCACACCATGAAGCCCAGAAATGTAGGATAACCAGAGCATCACTCCGGAGAAGGCCGTCAAGCTCCGCCTTCGATTGCACGTCCTTCACGGAACCACTCATTGCTCTTCCTAACCGGCAAAACACAGAGAGAGAACTGATCGAAACTCGAGTCTTAAATTCAATCCAGAAAAACCTAGAAGACGATGTTGAAGTTTCTCTCTTATTCTTTTAATTATTATTTTCTTGAAGAGGAATCTTTTAGATTAGGCCTCCAAAATTGCTCCAAAATTATTTTACAATATTAGGACTATTTTTCCAAAACTAGAAACACAAATTACCGTACAATATGACGTCATTCTCTCAATTCATAAAGTGCCACGTGTACTTTGGCGTATTAGTGGCGGCTTAAAGCAGCCGGCTAAGTGCACTTTGGCTTATTAAAGCTAACATATATAAAAGGTATTATTTTTAAATATATTAACAAATAAATAAATATATATGATAGCATAATAAAATTAAACATTTTATATTTAAGATGGAGACGACGTGTCGTTCTCCGTCTTCGGTCTTCGGAATGGACGATATGGGAAGCAGGCAGAGAGTCAATCGTCAAACTACGAAGGTTGATTAGCTGTTAATTATTTGATTGATTGATTGATTTCAGAAGATCCAAGACTTCACCATTGGCTATAAATTCTCACTGCGGTCTCACTCCCGAGCTAGAAGCTGCAATTCTTTATAATTACTGATTCTGTGTATCCGACACTCGAGGGATTCTCCTTTGCTTGCTGGAAGTTTTGCAGAACCCTAAAGGACTAGCTACGGAAAGAAGGAAAGCTCAATCCAGAATGCCTCAAGTAAAGATCATAGCGAAGAATTTTATGGACATGGTGGCCTCCTTGCCCGCCATGAAGCTCGATCAACTCTATGGGAATGCCTTCATCTGCGAAGCCATTCTCAGGTCCTTGCTTGCCACTCTAAATGCTTTTATTTTTTTGTTTCGGGTCGTATTAATTACTGAAACGACTAAAACCTTGAGTTTGTATGTGATTGTGTTGGCCATCTGACCATGATTTTCATATCCTGGAAACTTGTTCATTATACGATGTCATTGAAGCTGTTTATTTATTTATTATTTGATTCATATGTTCTAGTTTTGATATTGATGCTGAATTTCCATATTTTTTTAATTAGTTGTTTGTCATTTTTCCCTCTCGTTCATTGAGTTAGAGGACTGTGGGCAAAGTTCTTGGTATTTGCTAGTGAATTTAACTTAGAAGTAGCTGGTTAATCCTAGTTTCTGAGTTTTTCATTTATAAGAGTGTCAAACATCTTTTGTAATCAGGTCACTTCCACCCCTGGCCAAGAAGTTTGTTTTACAAATGTTATACATTGATGCTCCAGTAACAGCCAAGTCCATGGAGGAGTGGGTGCTCCCAGATGGAGTCTCGAAGTATAAGGTTGCCGTTGATCGATTGATTCAATTGAGAGTATTTATTGAGACTGCGGATAGGTGTTTATTCTCTTCTCGCATTTTCCATAGAATTTGATATTCTTTCACAATGCTTTTCAAATGCATCCTTAGTTATATTAGATCCAAGCAAGCTGACATTCAAGCGTTCAAGAGGAAGGCCAAGTTTTTGGAGTTTTTTTTTTCTTTTTCTTTTTATCTTCATCTTTTTCTCTGATGTTTCTTTCCATCAGTTGATAGATTGCCCACCTATTCATATCATGATATCATCAGAATTGAGAGGTTCATGCAAGGAGAAATTTAAATTTTGAACTTGTGGAGCAATATGTAAATGCTTTTGCATTATTTCTGTTTTGATCTCACTGAAATTGTTTATAATTTTGTCAGCAGTTTTGCATGGTTTGTAGTGCTCAACCCAATCCTTTGTTGTAATGTTTTCTGTGAACCCCCATTTTATTGATAGGAAAAGAGAAACAACCTACAAGCTAAATCCAACGTTCCAAGCTAACCTCCAAAAGCTTTTAATTCAGGGGTATGTTTTCTCTCACTTGGCTCGGTGAATGCATTTCTAAACCAAATATGCAAGGAGGGATACGTGATTTGTCCCATTTCCATTCTACTCAGCACAAACA